AGTCTAGATAACTGGAGCTGAAAGAGAGGATTCCTACACAACAACCAATTAAGTAAATTAGTTATGCTTTTCCATACTGTAAGTAATTAAAAAATGGTTATCACTAGATATATATATTTAGGGTCAGTCTTTTTCATTAAAAAATAATAAAAATTGTAGAATATAATTTCTCATTTCTTTAATACTTTGCTACTTCAGTAATCCTGAAATAATTAAACATTTAATAGAATCATAGGATGTTTTGGGTTGGAAGGGACCTTAATGATCATCTAGTTCCAACAACCCTGCATAGAAAGGGACACCTCCCACTAGAGCAGGTTGCTCAGAGTTTCATCCAGCCTGGCCTTGCACACATCCAGGGATGGGGCTTCCACAGCTTCCCTGGGAAAACTGTGAATTATCAATATGCTATAACTGTAAAATTTTAAGTTGCTTTATAATTATTTTAAATTAGTTAGTAGTAAATTATGATATGGGATTACTTAGAACATCTTTCCTCTGAAAACATTTCTCAGTTAAGTATTTTGCAGATCTTGGCTTTCTATCTTGGAATTCTCATCTTTGTTACTTTTCAGATGCTTTTAATTAATTATGGGAAGAATATTATCCATTAAAATGAAGAGGCAACAAAATGACAGGTTTTTTCCAACATAGCAGCAGTAGGTTGACTTTTAATGTGGTCATGGAACAAGAAAATCAAAAGCAAGATCTCTGACTCGGGTTTAATCAGCTGGAGCAGGAACTATATGAACTAAGAGCACATTTTACATGAGAAACTCTCTTTGGTTATGGCTACAAAGAGTTAGCAAAGTGAGACTGGAAAGAAAGTGAAGCTGAGAAAACCCACATCAGTGAGATTTAAAAAAAATCAATCAGTGGTATTAAAAAAAACAGTCTTTAGTTCACTTTAGGTTTGACAGCAATTGCTATGAGAAGTTCATTTCAACAAGTTATTAAAATTAATACTATGTTTCAATTCATTTTATCTTAACTGTTTCATATCAAATACAGATCTAGAATTGGCTTACTTCATGCAGATTATTTACTGCATCTTTGTACCTTCTTACTGAAATTTCCTACTCTTTTATCTTTCTTTCTTAAGAATGGAGTTTCCAAATTGTGTCTGCTCCAAGAAAATCTTGGAATGTTTGAAAGAAATGGCATTGCAGAAATAATTTCCTCATTTATATTTAGCTTATATATTCATGTTCTTAAACAAACAAACAAAAAGCATAATTTTTCATCATTGTAATTACATAATAATTCTAAAAGCACTCATTACTATCCAGTCTAATCAGCACAACAGGGTAGCAAGGTGTTACTCTTGTACACTGGATTGAATGCAGAAATTAGAATAGAACCAATTTTGAAAAAAATATTTATTAGATGCAGTGGAGAAGTATCAAAGTCTACATGCCATGAAGAAGTCTGTTACTGAGTTATTACGACTCTTGTGGAGGTCATTACTGCTAAGGTAAACAGTAATAAGAAGCTTTCTGTATTTTGAGCTTTATCTAGCCTTTGCTGAACTGCCTTTTGGGTCTAGCTTGGGTCACAAGGGTTGACTTCATATACAGACTAGTAGCAATTTACAAGAAAAAATATAACAAGCTGTTCTAATGACAGCTCAGGAATAGAAAAAAGGAGATATGAAATTTAATGCCAAATATATGCTATTTAATTTACTGTATTTAAATTTCAGATGACTGATTTTACACAGTCAAGTGAGGTATATCCTGACAGCCTTGCAAGGCTCTTGAAGCTGTTGCAGCCAAAAATGTGTCACTGAGGCTATTTTTGGGAAGAAGGAGGAGGGGAAGGAAAACCCAAAGCTTTTCTAAAATCAGAATTTCAGAATAACGGTCTCCAAAACAAGACTCTTCAGGCATCTGCAGAAATAATAAATCAGTGTGAAAAGTACGTGTCACTGATTAAATCGTATTCTTGTACAAGATGTGAATTTAAAATCTATAATGCCAAAAGCAGCTCTCAAGTTGAAAACCTTGTTTGCATCAAACTGCAGTAATAACCACAAAATACTGAATTCAATGGGTACATATCTGTGGCTGTCTAAGAATAACAGCTTTCAAAATGTATTCAAAACTTCAAGATTAGGTTGGATGGAGCTCTGAGCAACCTGATCTAGTTGATGTTCCTGCTTATTGCAGGGGCGTTGGACTAGATTACCTTTAAAGGTCCCTTTTAACCCAAACAAGAGCAACCAAGCTGGGGAAGGGTCTAGAGAACAAGTCCTGTGAGAAGAGGCTGAAGGAACTGGTATTGTTTAGTTTGAAGAGGAGGAGGCTGAGAGGAGACCTCATTGCTCTCTACAACTGCCTGGAACGAGGTTGTAGTGAGGTGGCTGTTGACTTCTTCTTCCTCATAAATAGTGATAGAACTAGAGGAAATGACCTGAAGTTGTGCCAGAGCAGGTTTAGACTAAATATTAGGAAGAATTTCTTTACTGAAAGAGTGGTCAGGCGCTGAAAAGGGATTCCCAGGGAAGGTGCTAGAGTCACCATACCTAGAGGTATTTTAAAAATATTGTAGATGTGACACTTCAGGACATGCTCTAGTGGGATTTTTTCCTGATTTGACAGATGGTGTCAGTGACCTTAGAGGTCTTTTCCAACTGTGAGAATTCTGTGACTCTGTGAAAATACTACTTTTGCTTGACTAACTCTATTTTCTATGAAAGCCTGTTGATTCACTTGCTGTATTCATTATACATAGAAAATAGCAGAGGCTCTGATCTTTCAAGGAGCTGTGCTTGGGACAGTATGTGTGCTTTAAAGAGCATGCGGCGGAAGACTAAGAAAAAAATCATATAAGTGGCATTCCTAGCATAGCAACAGGTTAATTGTTGTCAAGTTTTTAGTAGTGGGAGTGCAAGTGTGCTTTTGTGAGGTGTTTTGATATATTTCCACATGACACTGTTTGTAAAACACTGTACGTTCTCAAGGGGCAGAGGATGAGTAGCTTATGAACATCTCTCAATGGAGTGAGCTTTCAGAGAGCAGTTCTGCAGCAGGACATGCAGTTGGTCCAGTGCATCCAATATTTTTTTTAATCACTTGAAAATCAATACAACACTGCTCATAAAATTACTGGTGAGTAAATAACTATGAAGAAAGGGCATAATCCAGTGCATTTGAACTACATGACATTTACATAATTTAAAATAAGGCCATGTCTACAGATCAGAGGACTTTTTTTTTAGACAGCAAGATCATTACAGCAGTACTTTGTAGTTCTGACAGTCAGTTTTAAAAGAGCATTGCAAAATTGGAGTAAGTTCAATAAAAATCATAGAAAATATTTAATAAAATGGAGTAAATGTCTTATAATAAGAAATTTACAGATTTCAGAGTAAAAAAAAACCCAAACAAACAACAGAAACTAAACAGAAGAGTAAACAAAATGGTTATGACTTTGCAGTGCAGAAATTTCTTTTAGGGGGGCAAAAATGTCCTTAAATCTCATGTATGCAAAAAAAAAAGGCAGAACAAGAACCAGTTACAAGCCAGGTAAACAAGATAATAGGCACAAGTATGTAATGACTGATTAAATAATCTTTGGAACAAAAGGTCAAGGGAAGCAGTGGATCTTTTACAGTCTACTATCTTCTAATATGTCTTGATATCTCTTTGGAACATACATACTAGCTAAAACAAAATAATGCTTTGATTAGACTAGCATTAGTAGACTCAATAGAATATTTTTTACTGTAAGTCAAAATAGGTAACTTTATGGTTTCTACATTATCCTGTGATCAAAACATTATATATGTGAAGTCAAATCTGTAAAATTAAAATTTAAGGATTTATTTCCATTTATATAAAATTACTTACATTTAATTCACCAACCGCATAGATCATTCCAGGTTTGTTTTTTATTTTTTTTTCTTCTCCATTAATATGCCATGTTGTGTAAACTAACCTAAAAATTACATGCACTCTAGAACTCTGTAATTTGTGATATTTGTGCTGGACATTCAGTCAAGCACATGTCAAAAGAACAATGAGCATCTGATTGCAGCAATTTCAGAACAGACACAAACCTAATATAATTTTTGTTGGCCATATGAATATAGTAAAAATGATGGAAGAAAATGGGTTGATCTGAAATTTATTATTGCCATTCCTTTCTTGAATTCAATAATAGAAATAAATAAAGATTACTTTTTTTAAGCTGTTTCCACCATAATTTACTTGTAATTGCAACTCTGAACTCAACTGTAGTTATTATTGTCTTTCACCTTTCTCTTATGTGTGAAAGTTGAAGAAGTAGTGGAGACTGAAATGTATGTTTAACTATATATTTCTGAATTAGCTCATAATTGTCTTCTATAAAATTACTTCTTCGATGAATTCTCAAGTTTTATGCAAGAAGTAATCAGATCATAACAGGACATCTTATCCTGTATTGAAATAAAAAGGCTTTGTTTCTGATAAGGAATTATCTATGCAAATGCAAAAAGAAATGTTTTTAAAGCTTTGTGAATGCTGGTTGGTGGTCACAGTATGGGACTCTGCAATTGTTAATGGGCTCACTAAGAAGTTAAAATTTCGTTTAACTAGAAACATTTTTCTTTTGATCAGCAATGACATGCCGTTCTTTAGCTCTGATGAATTCTAATCATGGTCCAGAAAGTAAACAGCCAGTGGTTGATTAATCTGGTTATCCCACTGTTAAGAAATTTTCATTTAAAAATATTTTTAATCTTCTAAAAATATGATTTTTGTACTGCTGAGAGTAACCTAACTAATGTATAATGAGTTCTAGCATAAAGGGCTACATAGATAGACACAATAGTTTTACACCAACTAGTTTAAAAATGCTCTTCTTAAAGAACAGAATCCCAGACTAGCACATTTTACTAAAAGCCCAGTTTTTTAAATAATTTTGGGAAAGTGGATGTAAGCAGTGTCACTCACCAGTCTGTCAAATTTAATGCTTCTCTAATTTAATGCTATTTAATGCTTCTCTGTTTCTTTCAGCATAAAGAACGTCACTCCAAAAGTAGGTGATGCTGAAACTCGTAAAGCCATTCGCCGTGCCTTCGATGTGTGGCAGAATGTAACTCCTCTAACATTTGAAGAAGTTCCTTATATTGAATTGGAAAATGGCAAGAGAGATGTGGATATTACAATCATTTTTGCATCAGGTTTTCATGGAGACAGTTCTCCCTTTGATGGGGAAGGAGGATTTTTGGCTCATGCATATTTCCCTGGCCCTGGAATTGGGGGAGACACTCATTTTGACTCTGATGAACCATGGACTTTGGGAAATCCCAATCACGATGGTAAGAACAGATTTCAGCTTGAATAAAACAAATAAATGCCATGAATTTTGAGCTGACAGAGCTATTTTCTTGTCCCTAAAATCACATCGTTTTCTTTCCTAAGTTCATATTGCTTTAGAACTATCTTAATTTGCCTGGTCCATTAGAATATGAGACAGAAAAGTTTCTATCAAAATGTAAGTTAGAGTATCAAAAGGTGTTTCACTTGAAAAACAAAGAATTCTTGTTAGAAACCTCTGTCTTTGTTCAAATGTTGTACTGTTGAATGCTTATATAAGCTACTTTCATTTTGATATTTTTTGCCATATAGATCTTACTTAGGTTTGGGGAAAATGTGCAAATTTCTTTAGCAATCATATAAGAGAGCTTAAGAACAACTGAGACTACCCACCAATATAGTGGATATATGAAACCTAGTCTTCTCCAGTTTTTCTTTATGATGAAGCAGTGGCAGCATTTAAAGTCAAATCTTCAAAATGCCATTCCAAGAACAGAGGTGGTGTTTCCCAGTAACTTTTCAATGCCTTTTGGACTTGTTAATTCAAAAAATAATTCCAATTTACTCAAGCTGTACCTTCCCAGTAGTCAACTGATGACTGCATAGTGTAGTTGATGTACCTAAAATTTACCAAATCAATATTGAAGATACTCTTAAAATCAAAGAACTACAAACTCTTGCCAACTCCAAGTTCATGTGACTAAATTAATGCCATTGTCTAAGAAACCAAATTTAAAGCTAGCCTTTGCATCTCTTCAGAACAGTGTCAAAGAAGAGCTTTTGTGTTTGGTGCTTTTATACTTTCATGGGTTTTGCTTCCAACCAGCCTCAGTTGTCCAAGCAGATCTCTCTAAGCCAGTTACATAGATTTTGGGAGAGTCTCTTCAGCAAACAATGATGCACAACAGAAGATGAACAGATGCACAAAGAGGGTGCTTCTGGCATAAAAGAAGATAAAGATGACAAATAAGAAGCGCAGAGCTGTTATATTTCCTTGTTATACTGAATCTGTGAGCAATGAGAAGCTCTAACTCATTTTCTTTTCTCAACTGCAAAACTAAAATTCAGAGCTTTTATGTAGCAGTATTTGTACCCTTGAATTTGTGTTAAAACTTTTAAGTTAATATTTCAGGAGTATAAATGTGGTATTGTGACTGTTCTAATGATGTAACACTTCTGCTGTGCCAGGGTCAGTGAAGCAAGAGCAGTGTACTGCATTGTGAAAACCTGTAGTAGCAGAGTGGGTTGAAGATAATTTATTGTGAATCAAGGCCTAGATTCTTACTGGAGAAAAAATTGGTATTGCACTGCTCGGAAGGCTTTACAGAGGGACCTGGACAGGCTGAATCAATAGGCCAAGGCCAATTATATGAGGTTCAATTAGGCCAGGTGCTGGGTCCTGCATTTTGGTCACACACAGGCTTGGGGAAGAGTGGCTGGAAAGCTGCTCAGCAGAAAAGGACCTTGGGGTGCTGGTTGACAGCCAGATGAACATGAGCGAGCAGTGTGTCCAGGTGGCCAGATGCAAAATAGCACCCTGACCTTTATCAGGAGTAGCATGGCCAGCAGAAGTAGGGAAGTGATCGGGCCCTTGTACTCGAAGTGGTGAGGCTGCACCTCAAGTACTATGTTCAGTTCTGGGCCCCTCACTACAGGAAGGACATTGAGGTGCTGGAGCTTGTCCAGAGGAGAGCTACCAGTGGGGTGATTTTTAAGGTCTAGAGAACAAGTCATATGAGGAGTGGCTGGGGGAACTGGGGTTGTTTAGTCTGAAGAAAAGGAGGGTGAGCAGAGACCTCATTGTACTCTACAACTACGTGAAAGGTGGCTATAGGGATGTGGGTGTTGGCCTCTTCTCCCAAGTAAGTAACAAAAGGACCAGAGGAATTGGCCTGAAGTTGCGGCAGGGGAGGTTCAGATTGGATATTAGGAAGAATTTCTACACTGAAAGAGCGGTCAGGCACTGCAACAGCCTGCCTAGGGAGGTGGTGGACTCACCATCCTTGGAGGTATTCAAGAAACGTGCAGAAGTGGCACTTCAGGGCATGCTCTATTGACTGAGGCTGTGAGTCAGTTGAGTGTTGTTTTTTTTCTGTTTTTGTTCTTTGGTTTGAGCTGGGTTTTTTTGTGTTGATGGTTGGTCTCAGTGATATCAGAGGTCTTTTCCAACCATCTACAGGCATGTGTATGTTGAAATCAAGGTGTCCATTTAAAATGTGATAACATTTGGAACATATCCACATATGGATATTTTTAGCATGTGTGAAAGTGTGCAAACTTCTGGCTATCTTCTTTTTTAATGTAAATAATTTTCAGAGTGTAAATGAGTACCCATGTGTATATGCCTTTTTGTGACTGAGTTTTATAGAGCAGTTTTCAAAAGCTATTTCTTGTATTAACGAGCTTTAAGATATTTTGAAAAGAAAAAAAAAAACAACAAATGAAAGTAAAATGATACTATCACTAAAAATATGCTTTTAGGTATCTTAGAATGCTGAACTTCTATAATAAAAATCCTGAAGGAAAGTCCAGGGGTTTTTTGTGACTGGAAAAAATTTCTGTGTGGAAAAAGAAAACAAGTCTGCCATTTGGGATTGACAAGGAAGAAAAGGCTTACCACTCTCTTAGACTGCCTAATATTTGAGCTCAATCTCAGAGCACTGAAAAGCAGAGGTTGAATAATATATTTATGGTCTTAGCTATGAGTAATTTTTCCCAGGTGAGTGTTATTTTTTCAAGTTCATTGCTCGAATAGTCCAATAGTCATCTTCATGTATTGTTAATAGAAATCCAATAAAGAAGAAAAAGATTAGGAGATTTATTTTTATTTTAAAATAAATTCTCACCTCAAAGGTCTTTTTTTTTTTTTTTTTTTTTTTTCCCATCTGATTCCTACTCTGTTATCTCAGAATTATTTGAAAACATGGACTCGGTTAATTAGCAGCAAAAAGGAAAATATAAGATCATCTTGAGAAGTGATAGACTAAATCTTCACTGTGCACTGTTCTTCTAATGAGAACAATTTGCATGCTATCTACCTCAAAAAAGACAGGCAACTACTTGAAATGCTGTCATAAACTGTTGTCCGTTTAAAATAATTTTCATTCCAAATAAGGAACCATATACAAATTCAGTATTCTGACTATAGTTAATTCCTAAGGTAATTTCTCCTGACTAGTTAGTTGTAGTGGCTTCATACAAAACATTTGGGTTCAGGTTTTGGTTTTTTCCTTATCTTTTTTGTTTGATTATAGTGTGTTTTCATAGTTTTAGTAATATTCTAGACTGAAAGGACAGTTCCAATAAAAATACAGCATCTCCACAGCACAGTGCTGCTTTCATTTTTCCCACTTCAGTGGTATGTTTTTGTGGATCTCAGACCTATCTTATCAGTTGTTTTCTAGGGAAGAAATCTGTGCTTTGACTAAAGAATTAATAAGGCTCCTGTAGGAGCCCATTGCTTAGGATAAATCCTCCTATCATATAATCTAACACTTGCAAGCTCTCTCAAATGACATATTTCTTTGTTTTCATAATACACTGTAAGCAGAGTGCACTTGGTACCTTAACTCCAGCTGAGCTGTAGAGGTCTTTTCTCTAATTTCCTCCTATGGTGCTGCAGGTAATGCCAGAAGTATTGACTTGCCATCACAAGGGAGCAATGGACACAAGGACAGAATTTCTTTTGCTAGGGAAGGAGGGATGTACTGGAGGATAAAAAAATTTGGGGTTTTTTTGCAAGGTAGAAAACAGTAGTTTTCAAATACTTTGGACCAAGTGTCTGGACACATTGGACTGCAGCCTTCCTCAAGACAGCTTTCATGTTCCTCTTGTTCTTTTAGAACACCTATTTTTCAAGTTGTTCTGATGGTATAGGCCTTTTCACCTAGAGTAGATCCCATTTCCTTTACAGTCTGCTTACCCAGATTTTAGTGTGAGAGGAGAGTCTTAGGTTTGTCAATTATCTGGGATAGGATGGTTTCTTGATGCATCTTCTGAATTAACTTGTGCTTCTAGGCAGTCTCAGTAAAACTCAGATTATTCTGGTAACACTTGGGAACTACGGTAGGAGAGGATGGAGGAAACAAAAATTGAAGGTGAAACACTTTCTGGAATAGCAAATCAGAAAGGACAGCAATATCACAGGGAAGGAATTTGTAATACATACACTTAAAGATGTAAAAAGATAAAAGAATAAAAAGGAGATGAAAATACATAAGTAGCCATCTGAAAATTCAGCATTTATTTAAAAAAAAAAAAAAAAAGAAAAGTTGAATCCTTGTTTTCTTCTGAATTTAAGTACTGGAAAGAAAAAGAAGTGAAGGAAAGAAAGGAAAAGGAAGAAATCTTGATATACTGGTCTTGAGGCTAGGGAGACATTTTGTTGTTCCCATGACTCCAGTCCATTTAGATGATATATATTACCTCATTTTTTAATGAAAAATGTATGGACACTGAATAATATATCTAAATCCAGAAAAAGACAATTATTTCTTGCTAAGAGTTACAATATTTTGCAGACATTGTATTGTCCAACAAGAATCTTTTTCAAAGATTTTTTTTCAGTTGCAATATTTCAAATCACTGTGATGAAATTTAAAGTCACTGCCAGGGAGCAGGAGGGATAGGGACTGTCCCTGTAGTAGATTTTCTAGTAGCAAGCAGGAAAATCCTATGCTCTGTCTTCCTGTATCAAAAACTGAAAATAGTGTTCTTGTTAGTCTTAACAAGTCTCTCCCACATCTGTCCATTATTAATCTGCAGCACTGAATATTTTTTAAAGCAATTAATAATGTTTACTGAGCATAGATGTTTGCTTCTAATAAAAAATGGAAGGAGTTTTTCTACAATGACATGATTAGGAAAAGGACTCTGCCTTGTTAAAAGCATATAGTCATAAAACCTTAACCTGAGAGTGAATGAAGACATTTTTGCTGTCTGTCAGAGGTAAATGTCTCAAACATAAAGCATAAGATCTTACCTCTGTTGCAAAACTTGCATT